ACAGAAGCAGCTTCACATCGAAAAGAATTAAAAATGTGATTTTTATTGATATTCAGAGAAAGATTCTCAGTAACTTTGCAGTGTGATAATTCTATTATTTTTATCGATATCGAGTTTCATGGAATTAAAAATTATTTGTCATTATTACAATTAATGATATGAAATTGTTATTACATGAAAAAGTACGTTGTAATGGAAAATGCGTCGCTACTTACATGTTTCACGTATACGATGTTTGTTCATAACTCTATAACAAAGCGTTTGGTATGTAACAATAATATAACAACAAAAGGTGTAGTTTCCTTTGCATTTTCTCGCGAGAAATATGCAAAGTATTTTACTCTAAGCTTCGTTAGAACCGAACAACACTGCATTTATAGTATAGATATATTTTCATAAACAAATGATTTTATGTTTCTGGTAACGTGAAACAATTCCAAGCATGATATTTCGTCCAAAATGTTGAGATACTTCATCCTCGGATGCAAAGGAGCAAAACTTGGTTTCATCTCTAGTTAGTCAAGAATGAACGTCTTTTGAGGATACTGTATAATGTATACCACGACTGTTTGGTTTAGTTCTAGTTGTTTTATAAAATTTCATAGTACAGTGAATAATAAAGAAAAAAAAATATTTGTTGTATTTATTATAAATTTCGCGTATCAATTAGGTTCAAGTATGTTAAATTTCATGTCATTCGCTACAATTACAAAGATTTCGGAGGACCATGATGAGAAGAGACGTTTAATTGGAAAATAAAGATACGTACTATGTATTTTCGACTGTCTTCCTTCAGTGATAATTAAATCAGAATATTTTTCCTATTTTTTATTTATGGTAATGAAAGTACAAATAAATTCATTTTCTCTGAGCATGAATCATACGTAATCATAAAATATTCTGTATTATCACTTTCATGTACCACTAAAAATAATACATATCTCAGAAGAAATGATCCTTTATCCTTAAACGCAACGTAAACGATATCGTGTGATTTACTCGTCATCGAAATGTACATTACACGGTAAACAAAGTAACCCGATCTCTAGATTGCCTCTATTTTCACTCAGGTTTCACATCATTGATAATCAAACAGCAGCTGACAGAGACCGGTTAATTTAAACCAACTGCCATCGATCGAATTATATATCCCATCAAGAATAATGAAATGGAAATTCATCGTGTCGGTTTCGAAATAGGCCGAGGAAAGTCCGAAAATCGATATTATACGTGTGTATATTCTCTCTCTATCTCTCTCTCTCTCTCTCTCGGGGTAATGTCCGCAAATGCAACAGGTTTCTGGCGTTCATTCTACTGCGACCAGTTCCTAAGCAGAGTATCCCAGAGTCTGTTCAGTAATTCAGGATGTTTCTGACAGCCGCAAAGCACCGCCACTTGTCTGGTAGATAAAATGGCTCGAACACGTGCGGGAAAGGGCAGTCCCAGCCTGTGACCCTTTGTATCGGTGCTTCCAGATGTAGAAAACACTCCTCCTGCAATGCAAATGTTTTT